CTAGAGCTACACAAACTCCAATAGCTTAAGCCTATTTAACTGCTATGTAATGAGCTTTTGGACTATCACAGCAGATAGAAGTCTCATAATATATTATTGTGTACCTACCTATATCTTCTCATAACTTCAGGTCCTGGCATATAACCTGGAGTTGCTGTAGGTGCAACTGGCTCAACATAGAGTTTTGCTGAGCAAATGGCATTTCCTTTCATATTACTGGCAAAGACAGTATAAATTCCTTCATCTTCAGGTAAAACAACAGGTAAACGCAGAGTGGCGCTACCATCTTGCAGAAGTTCCATGTGGTAGCGCTCTCCATGCCTTATACGTTTGCCATCCTTGTACCATGCCACCTACATGGAAAAAAACAGTAAACTGCTCTGTGAACTCTTCTAAAGACAAAGATCCAGTAATGACTCATGCATACAAGACATTACAACTTGCTGGTTTTCAGCTGAAAAGCATCACAGCCCACACATATGTGTTAAACATTAACATTTTTATTTGAAATAGGTGAGACTAGTGTGAGATGTTTACATAGCAATCTGAAACACAAGTTTTGGATCTAGAAACAGATATAAAAGCCTATTTTGATGAAAAACAAAGTAACCTAGACTGGACTGCTACTGTGTTCCCCACTGGTCTGGGCTACCTCAGTGATACTCAGAATCAAGACCAACTTAATTGGTAAATCCAGCCTACCTCTGAACTGGCTAATCAACCTAACTATTTTATTAAGGGGCAAAAGGAAAATTCAGCTTGATATCAAACCAGAAGACTGGATTTCTTTTGAGAGTTGCTGTTTCCTGTGCAGAATGTCTGACAGTGAGATGTTAAGGGATTTTTTCAAGTAGAGCATAAAATGATTTACAAAAAAAAAAACTATACAAATTTGGGGTACCTTGGGCAATGGATATCCAGATGTCTTGCAATGGAAGGTAACTCCTGTCCCTTCAAAGGTTCTGTAATTCTTTAATCTTAAATCGAATCCTGCTTCTACAGCTTCAGATTCAGAAATATCAACCATCATCTCCTCTCCATCTTCTTCAAGAAGTTCATGTAACGTAGTCTTAATAATTCTGAGTTCAATTTCCTTGATAAGTCTTTCTTCGAAAGAAGAAATATGGAATTCCTATACAGAAAAGCAAGACTGTTAGTTTTCTGTGTCAAATAATGATGTTGCATATAAATTATTTGTATGGTAAAATGTCGGTACCCAAAATTAATATGGAGGGACAGACATACCTCATCTTCTATAAAAGTTCTGACCATCACTGTATCTTTTGCCATTTTCTTCCTAATTAGAGCTTGTTCTTTCTCATACTCTTTTTCAAAGTCACCATAGGAAATGGGTGGGGCTACCTCAGCCACTTTAGGTTCCTGTACGTATGCAGTCATTTGAGTTTG